CGTTAGAACCACTGAAATGTCCTCCTTCATACCTGTTTGGTGTGTCTTTTTCTGAGGCCATTCTTCAATCAATGTAGTCTTTCACTTTTTGATTAAACTATTTATTATGAAAATTAAATGTATAAAAAAAGAGACTAACTTTAAAAATACCAGGTACTTATCCCCCCCCCCAAAAAAAAGAATATTAGGTAACTTTAAATACTCTGAAAGTAGATTCACAGGTTCATGAGATTAAATGAAATGTCTGAAAACTAATTTAAAACTTGGAATTGTATTTAACACTGAAAAATAAGATGAAAATATTTTCAAAGACTGGTTACAAATTATCATGTATTATATGCTAAAATTATGAGTACAGGATGATTACAGAAAGCTAACTTATTCCCCAGAATTGTGTAATTCATAGTACATAAATTACAGATAAATAAAAAATATAACTGTGAAATCAAACATTTTAAGTCCACTGGCAGTAGGACTAGGACAGGAGCTGAGGAGTGCACGGGAGTGATAAGAAGAGCTTTCCCAATCCAGAGGCCATCCCACATCACAGAGTGACCTAAGTGCTGCTTTAAAAGTCAGCCCCATCCCTACCTCAGCTACATCTCTAATCTGTTTCTCTCCAGGCCATTTCTTGTTTACCTTGTTTAAAAAAAGTACAATTTTCCTAAATAGGAAAACCACAATAAAAAGTCTGTAACTAGATATTCCAAATTATTACATGCTGGACAGTAAAAATATAAGGAGAATACAATTATCAGAAAAGGTGAAAGGGCCACACACAGCACTCTGGGGCTAGAAGAGTTCACAGAACATAAAGTTAAATGTGAGTTAAAAAAAATATATATATATATATGTATATATAGCCAGTGCTCTTAACCACTGAGCCATCTCTCCAGCCACCAAGCTGTTGCTTTTAAATTCAGCTAATTAACATAGTGATTTATAGGCCATTGGTCAGATGGTTTAAAGAATGTATATTCATTATTTATCTATGCATTCATTTTGTTTGTTTGAGTCTTACTCTGTAGCCCAAGCTGGCCTGAAACTCACTGTTGGCCCAGATTGGCCTTGAACTTACGGCAGTCTCCTGCTTCAACCTCCCTAGTACTGGAATTATTAAGAAGTAAGATACCACACCAAACACAGAATTATTTTAATGGGTTCCATACCTGAAGTTTCTCCCTCACTATCTTTTTTGTTTTTTATTTGGCACACATAAAAATGGTGTGAATTTCTTCTTTCAATCATTAAGCTGTCATTTGATGTTTTGTTTTCTGTGCTTTTTAGGACATTTCTGATTCATTTGCATCCTTGAAGAGCATCTGTAGAAGAGGAAGGAAAAGATGGGTGTGAAAACGTTTACTCATAGCTCCTCTTCCCACAGCCAGGAAATGCTTGGAAAACTAAATATGCTACGAAATGATGGACATTTTTGTGATATCACTATTCGTGTCCAGGACAAAATCTTCCGGGCTCATAAGGTGGTACTAGCAGCTTGCAGTGATTTCTTTCGCACCAAACTTGTAGGCCAAGCAGAAGATGAAAACAAAAATGTGTTGGATCTGCATCATGTTACAGTGACTGGCTTTATACCCCTTTTAGAATATGCTTACACAGCCACTCTGTCAATTAACACAGAAAATATCATTGATGTTCTAGCTGCGGCTAGCTATATGCAGATGTTTAGTGTTGCTAGCACCTGCTCAGAATTCATGAAATCAAGTATTTTATGGAATACCCCCAATAGCCAACCAGAAAAAGGTCTAGATGCTGGACAAGAAAATAATTCTAACTGCAATTTTACTTCTCGAGATGGAAGCATTTCTCCAGTGTCTTCAGAGTGCAGTGTAGTAGAAAGAACCATTCCTGTCTGCCGAGAATCACGGAGAAAACGCAAAAGCTACATTGTTATGTCTCCTGAGAGTCCTGTAAAATGTAGCACACAAACAAGTTCACCCCAGGTATTGAATTCTTCAGCTTCCTATGCAGAAAATAGAAATCAGCCAGTTGACTCCTCTTTAGCTTTTCCCTGGACTTTCCCTTTTGGAATTGATCGAAGGATTCAGCCTGAGAAAACTAAGCAGGCAGAAAACACCCGGACTTTAGAATTACCTGGCCCATCTGAGGCAGGTAGAAGAATGGCTGATTATGTGACTTGTGAGAGCACAAAAACTACCTTGCCTCTGGGTACCGAAGAAGATATCCGGGTCAAAGTAGAAAGATTAAGTGATGAGGAGGTCCATGAGGAAGTGTCCCAGCCTGTCAGTGCATCTCAGAGCTCACTGAGTGATCAGCAGACAGTGCCAGGAAGTGAACAAGTCCAAGAGGACCTTCTGATTAGTCCACAGTCTTCCTCTATAGGTATAATGCTTTCTATGTTTTCATGTTACAGTCAGTTCAAATGTTTTTAAGCTTTTCTGTGCTCAGTCCTATAGAAAATATAAAAAATGGCAAAACATGGTAACTAGAGTTAAGGGGAGTGGGGCTTAAAATAGGGTCTCCCTGTTGCCCCAGCTGTCCTAGCATTCACTATGTAGACTAGGCTGGCCTTGATCTCAAGAGATCCGCCTGCCTCTGATACGACTAAAGGTGTGCACCATCCATGCCCGCTAGTAACTGGATTGTTAAAAAAATGTTACTAGTTCTATAATTTTTTTTTTTTTTTTTTTTTTGCAAGTTACACATTGAGAAAGAAAAAAGTTCAACAGTATATAAGGGCAAAAAGCAGAGATAAAATTTGTAAATTATTTTCATTTGCTTTGGTTTTTGGGGTTTTTGTTTTGTTTTGTTTTTTTGTCTTTTTTGAGACAGGGTCTCCTTGTAGCCCCAGCTGTCCTGGAACTCACTATGTAGATCAGGCTGGACTCGAATTCACAAAGATCCGCCTGCCTCTGCCTCCCAAGTGCTGGGATTAAAGGCATACACCACCATACCCAGCTACAATTCTTTAATTTTATGTGTATGTGTGTGTTGTCTGCATGTGTGTGAGTGCTGGGAACCAAACCCAGATTAAGAGCAGTCAGTGCTCTTAACCGCTGAACCATCTCTTCAGCCCCTGCTTTGTTTTTTTTAAAGACAAGGTCTTGTGATGTAGTCCAGGCCAGCCTTGAGCTAGTGATCCCCTTGCCTCAGCTTCCTGGTTGTTGGGGTTGCAGATGTATGCCACCACACCCAACCAGGGACAGTGCTACACACCTAGAATCTCAGCACTAAAGAAACATAAACAGGAGAATTCATAGTTCAGAAGTCCTCAGCACTTAATGAGTTTCAAGGCCTGTGCTATATGAGACCCTGTCTTGGAGGGAAAAATCCACTTCTTTATTGAAATATTCATTAAGGGCCAGTAATGGTGTTTGCTGCCAAGTCTGAGGACATGAGTTTGAGTTCTGGAACCCACATGATAGGATAAAACCACCTATACACACAATAAGTGAAAAAAAAAATACTGAAAAGTTACAATGTTTCAAATATGATGATGTGTAAGACAAAGACATGACTTCTACAACAATGGAGTTAATAGCCCAACTGGAGAATCAGATATGTCAGTAGGTGATTATAATGAGCTGTTAAAAATGTTATACTAGACAAATTAAAAAGCATTATTAATGTAACAATGGAAAGAGCAAATTAACAGTAGCATATGTGAGTGGGTCTTAAGCAATGAGAGTTTGCCCAAGTAAGGTAACAACGTAGAAAACATAAAGAAAGGCACAGTATGTTCAGTAAGTAGTGAACCAGGACACGGTGATGTAGACAAAGCACAGACACTGAACCTGTGGGAATAAGTAGGTGATAAGTCAAAAGGAGCTGGTAAGAACAGATTGTGAAGAGCCTTGAACACCAGTTCCAAGTAAGGATTGCATTCAACTGTAGATAACAGAAACTGTTTTCAGTGGCTTTGCCAAATAGGATTTTACTTTTATTATATGGTAGTGTTCCAGAATTGGAAGTTCAGAACTGGTAATATGGTTTTACAGTATGATTTAGGATCTTTGTGTATTTATAATTTATCAGTTTATTCCATAGACTTATTTCCTTTGTATTTATGAGATACTCACTTCATCTTGACATTTACACTCTGGAAAGAGAGAATGCTCATGTCAGGAATGCACTAATTGTCCTGGGAAACATTTTAAAACTAATGCTAGTATGTGCCATATGATCTTTCTTAATAACAAAGAATCTTGAGAAATTATTTTTAGTTGAGTATGTGATTACCTTAAACAAAATTAGAAAACACTAGATAGTGCAGCAAGCAATGCCCACCACAGGTAGGCTAAGTAAATGTAAATTTTACCCTAATACTCTAAATCTTAAAAGGAGTAAGACAGACAAACAGACAGATATTTTAGGAAAATTAGTTTGGTTTTGATATTGTTAATGCAAGAGATTTGGCTATGCAGAGACAGATTTGGTTCTAAAACCTGTTAGACCAGTGGGTATAAAAGAGTAAAACTTTTTTTTTAATTATAAGATTTTTATAAATGAATAATGAATCCGTACAACCTAGTAATGTTGAGTATATACATTGAAAGGGATGGGTGAAAGTACTAAGGATGAATAATGATTCAATAATTTTTCATACCTTATTGTCTGAGTCCAGATGTGTCTTTGCAGTTAGTTTTTCCCCCTTCTTAATGATGCAAAAAATGATAATTATAATACATAGCATTTTGCCATCTACTAAATGCAATAACTGTAATATGAAAAATTAGTGGTTGGAGGCTGGAGAGATGGTTCAGTGGTTAAGAGTTCTGCCCGCATGACAACTAACAACCGTCCCTAACTCCAGTTCCAGGGGATTTGACACCCTCTTCTGACCTCTATGGGCATTGCATAGTACAGGTACACTTATACACATGCAGGTCATACACATAATAATAATTAATAATAAATACTGTTTTTTTTGGTCTTTTTGAAACCGGGTCCCCCTGGAGCCCCAGCTGGCCTGGAACTCACAGGCAGATCCACCTGTCTCTGTCTCCCTAGTGCTGGGATTAAATTTAAAAAAAAAAAGAAAATCAATGGTAGGAGGTAGGGGGTGCTCATTTTAAGAGTAATCAGCAAGGTCAGTTTTATGTAAATTATGTTTAGATTACAACCAAGCAGTTTTAGAGAACTGGAAGAGCCAAAACCAAAGGACTAATCCTTGGGAAGTATCTATATTTTTAAGGTTGGGAAGGGATTTGGGGTGGGGGGTGTCTTTTTGAGACAGGGTCTCTATTTTTAGCCAGGCGTGGTGGTGCATACCTTTAATCCCATCACTTGGGAGGCAGAGGCAGGCAGATCTTTGTGAGTTTGAGGCCAGACTGGTCTACATAGTGAGTTCCAGGACAGCTGGAGCTACAGGGAGACCCTGTCTCAGAAAGACAAAAAAAAAAAAAATTATATATATATAGTTTTTATTTTATGTGCATGAGTGCATTGCCTACATGTATGTAATTGCACCCATGTCATGCAGTGCCCATGGACGTCAGAAGAGGGCATCAGATTACCCTGGAACTGGAGTTACAGATGGTTGCTAGCCACCATGTGGATGCTGGCAATTGAACCCAGGTCTTCTGCAAGAGTAGCCAGTACTCTTAACCACTGAGCCATCTTTCTAGCCCCACAACCACATAATTTTTTTAAAAAATTTTAAATCCTTTTATTTAAAACGAAGTTTAAGTCCATCAATCCTTTCTACTCCTAGGAATGTCATTTTTCAGTCTGTGCTGTCTGGGTAGTGCCAGACAGATGTTGTTGTCTGCAGATCCACCTGGAGATGCAATCATCCTTGACCTAAATTGTTTTCTGTTGCTGTGATAAAATATTGACCATGCCAAGTTGGGAAGGAAAGGGTTTATTTGGTTTATAGCATATTCCCTTCATAGAGGGAACTCAATGTAGGAACTGGAAGGAGGAACCTGAAGGCAGGAACTGAAGCACAGACCAGGGAGGAATGGTGCTTTACTGGCTTGCTCCTCTGGTCTGTGCTCAACCTGCTTATATAATACAAGACAGCATGCCCAGGGGTGGCACCACCCACAGTGGGCTGGGCCCTCCCACATCACTTAATCAAGAATGTACCCCACAGACATGACCACAGCCAGTCCAGTAGAACTAGTAACTCAGTTGAGGTTCCCTCTACCCAGGTCTGTTGACAGAACTATCCAGCACAATCCTACACCCTCAAAATGGAGTCTTCTAGGGCAAGGCACAACCTGGGTTGGGGGGTGGGGGGCGACCCCAAAGAACAACTGTTTTATACAATATGGAGTAACTTAGAGTAGGACCATACCTTGATCTCAACAGCTCTCAACTGTAGCCCAGGCAGGCTTTGAACTTGAGAGCCTCCTGCCTCTGCCTCTTGTATAGGTGGAATTGGAGACCTGTACTACCAGACCCAGCTTGCTTTTTTATTTTTCAAGTGTGAACCTAAGATAATTGTATTAAAAATATGTATAATATTGCCTAACATGTGGTAAATGCTTGATAGGATGACCAATTAATTATTTTTCATTGCTAGAAGATTTTTGTGTCTTGAGTACTGTAGTATGATACACTAGAAGCTGCTATACACTGTTGTTTGTTGCTGAAAGGGTGAGCTGACTTGGTAAGCTAGTCCTCACCATATCAAGCTGATTGCGTACATAAATCACCTTTACTGTTTGAAGAAGTAAAAAGGTCTGTCCAGAATTCTTAGCTGTTCTCAACTGCCTCTTAGAATCCCTATAGCATAGAAAACTTCCCTCCACTAGTTTCAGGACGGAACCCAGGGTCTTGTGCAAATTAGGCTGTCTCATTGAGCTATACTTCCAATTTAAAAATTTCATTAAAACTGAGTAATTTAAGAAACATTATCACCAATCAATAACTTGTATAACCTGCTGTTAAATCAGTCTAATTCAATATCCAGTTCATTTACCTTTGTTTTGTTGTTGTCAGAAGCTATCACCTCAGGAAAAAGAGTTTATAAACTTTTATTTTTGCTCATAATTGTATAAGTGATAGCATTTCTTAGGTGCTAAAATTTCCACAATATGGACAAAACTCTTAAATCTTTTATTTTTAGATTTTGATACACTTAAGAACCATGGGTTGATGGCTGGAGAGATAGTTCAGTGGTTAAGAGCACTGGTTGCTCTTGCAGAGGACCTGGGTTCAATTCCCAGCACCCACATGGTGGCTAACAACCATCCATAACTCCAGTTCCAGGGGAATTCGATGCCCTCTTCTGACATCTGCAGGCATTACATGACATGGGCACACTTATATTCATGTAGGTAATACACTCATACACATAAAATAAAAAAATAATAAAATATTTTGAAAAAGAATCATAGATGAGAATAAAGTACTTTTATTTTTACATACTATCT